TGTCTCTTTACCGAGTGCCGTAGATCTAGGCACTCGGTAAACATGTACCAGGCCCACATGTTATTGGGCTGCGGTGCTTCTGTTTACCGAGTGCCGTAGATCTGGGCACTCGGTAAACATGTACCAGGCCCACATGTAATTGGGCTGCGGTGCTTGAGTTTACCGAGGGCCGTATATTTAGGCACTCGGTAAACAGACCGCAGCCCAATAACTTAGTCGTTTCTCCCTCAAATCGTGCAGCCCAATAACACCGCGACGCCACAAGATCCCGCCGCACCGCCCGCCGTCCCTCAGCCACGGCCTCCCTCGCTGTCCCCGCACTTGCGCCGCCTCCCAGCCCATAGCGCTCCACGCCGACGCCGGCGCCTCCCGCCGTCGCCAGCGCCTCCCCACCGCCCATGCCGCCTCCTCCCCTCCACGCCGTCAGCAGAACCGGGCCTTGCTGGTGGAAGACGAAGCAGCCGTGGAGAAGGGGAAAGGAAGGGCTGAAGCTCCAGCTCGACGCGCTGGCCGTCCCGACGCGAGCGCGCGCTGGACACTGGCGATCCACGGCGTCGTCGACTCCGACGAGCTCCCGGCCTCCCGCTCGACACCGAGCAGCACGCGGACGCCAGCAGCCCCGGCTCCAACTCCATCCAATCGTCCACCCTTTTTTCTGAGGGTATTACGAGGCTCTTCATCTTCATCATCCTCGCTAGAACACTAGAACAGAGGCGCGGCAGACACGTGTGTTGTGCTTTGTGGTTTACTTGGGCAGTAGATGCAAAGTATCAATGTAAGAAAATAGTAATCTGAGATTTGTAGCTTTCGTAAGAGAAGTTTCTGTAGATTCTATCCAAAAAAAAATGCTACTGCAGTGCATAGCATTGTCCCCTCTATGTATGGAAGTGGGTAAGAGAGAATTGTTGTTGGAGATCACCTTTGGTTTTGGTATACATCTTGAGAATAGCATCCAGTGGTAGAGCACCTCCTGCCCGATTCGGTCCAGTCATAGAAACTAATAGTCATGAACCGACTAAACCGGCAAATTAAAGTCTAGGAAGTAGTTCATGGTACCAGAAATATATGTGCTCCAAAAGTGAGAATTAGTGGAAAGTATGATTCGGGTCTGGGGAAGTAAGCAAAGCACAAGGCATCATGTCATGCAGGTCAAGTCTAGGAAGTAGTTCAGGAGTAGTTAGTTGTTTGTCATCAGAATTCAGAACAATCTTAGGGTGCCATCATCACGGTGACAATTGCCGCAAGGTTATGGCTTATTGGCGGCCACGATCCGGAGAACTTTCAGCTCATGCCCAAGTTGACTTAGCTTGGAGATAGCAGCAGTCTTGCTTGGGAGTAAGCATATATATGGATGGCATTTTTTTTCCAGTAACCGGTAACAGAAAAATCACGCAGGAGCTAGAGAAAACATCCCAGTCCTTGACTGTGTCAACTCAGGCATGTATAAAAGGCATTTGGATTGCATTTCCAATCATCTGTAGCTACTTAGCTAGCTAGCTAGTAGTACCTGTTAGTTTTCCATGCTTGTCTTGCAGCTGAGTGAAGTCCAGACAACAGCAACTAATTACTGAGTACTTGCTGCGGCCTTGCAACAAAACTCCAATTCTCCAGCATGCCGTGCTCTCGGATGATCCTACTGTTAGCTGTGTGTTCTGCTGCAGCCCTTGCTCAAGCTGCTACTGTGGAGCATACCTTCAATGTACTCTTTTTTTTTTCTCAGCAATCACTCTTCCTCAGCTGTGTGTTCGAGCCCGGCCATACGCCCACGCTCACAGCCCCAGGTGGTAGCACTCCAGGTTAGTTCTGTTGCATTCGTTGTCCATTCATTTTCTACCCGTTCTTTATTTGCATTCTAACTATGTGATAAATAATTGTAGGCCCAGATTGAAGCCCTGCAGGAGTCACAGCAGGCCTCACAGAGCCAGTTTCAGGCCCTCCAGCTATCGCACCAGGCCGAGTTGGCACAGGAGAGGGCGCGAGTGCAGGCCCAGCTTGAGGCCTTCCAGCAGTCGCAGAAGGCCTGGTACGAGTACATGGCCAGCTTTTCTCAGAGCATGGGCCAGCCTCCACCGCCTCCGCCGCCGCCGATGATACCGTTGGTGCCTCCACCTCCGCGCGACGGCACTCCTGTGAGTCACTCTTCATCTTGAAAGGCTTTTTCAGTTCAGATTGTGCTACAGTCAACACTATCATGTTAGAACCTAGAAGAGAGTAGGATACATACATGTATAAGTTAGATTATTAGTAATATTGTTCAGACCTTGAAAGGCATCATGTTAGGTTCTACATGAGTACATAGGTGTTTGCCCAATTCATGTTCAGTCTACTCGACCATGTGTGACGATATCTTGCACATAGAGGAGACCTAAACAGCAACTAACTTGATATGTGTTATCTATTATATGCCTATATATTGATGTCACTGTTAACTGGTCTTTCGAAGGAATATTTGAATTTGGCATACTACCTTATGATTAATTGACAAATATGTTTATTTTCTTTTGCTCCCTCATTCCAGGGACCTTCTACAGCTGGATCGAACAACGATCAAGACTTGGACTTGTCTCCGTTTCTCGGTAGGGCTCCGACCATGTGACAGGACCATGTTTCACTTGTTTGTATGTTGAACTTAGAAGTGGGTTGAACTTTGTGGACTTTGGACATGTTGATGGTGTTTGTGGACTTTGCATTGTGCTTGTGACATTTGTTGTAGCTATATGTTGGTTATAATGAGTGGATGTGACATTTGTGGACATATATGTGATATATATTGTCTATCTGTTGGTAACTGTGATATTCTGTTATAATTGTTGTTAATTGTGGCTGGATATGCACTGAAACAAACAAAAAAAATACTGTGGACAAGTTTTACCGAGTGTTACACTCGGTAAAGGTCATGTTTACCGAGTGTTACACTCGGTAAAACAGAGAACAGAACCAAATTGGTTCTGATTCAGTTAATTTTGCCGAGTGGTGCCATTTTTTACCGAGTGCCACGACCCACTCGGATATATGTGCCATTTTTTACCGAGTGGAACACTTTCGGTTAACGAATTACATGTTTACCGAAAGTGTTACTGGTACACTCGGTAAACTATATTAGGAAAAATATTTGCGGAATTGTTTTAATCATGAAAATGGTTATCTGTTTACGAAAGTGCTATGTATAACACTTTCGTAAACACGACGCCGATAACGGCGAGCTTGAGGGACCGACGACCGTCACGTCGTAGTTGTTTACCGAGTGCGGCGTAGCACTCGGTAAGATTTATTCTCCGAGTGTCCCGTTATTTGACACTCGGTAAACTAACTTTACCGAGTCGTTGTTTACCGAGTCATGTTTACCGAGTGTGGCACTCGGTAAACAATTTACCGAGTGTTTCTCCATATTTGCCGAGTGTTTATCACACTCGGTAATTAATCAGTATCCCGTAGTGCATATACAAGGTCATGCATGTGTGCCTGGTGTTGGAACCACCCAGCACCTGACCATAATAGTGTCCCCCGGAGCTCTTGTCATTGGAGAAGCAGCCCCAGATGGACTTCACAGAGCCAGCCCCACCCTCCCCCTCCACCTACCTTGACCTGCCCCCGACACCCCTTGTCGACAATGCCAAGGATGATCTCTCCTATGTCTCGCACATGCTCATGGAGGACGACATTGTTCACAACTTGTACCACCAATACCCCAACCACAAGCTCCTCAGTGCCGAGCAGCCCTTTGCCCAGATCCTCTCCACCAATGCCACCTATGTTACACGGATACGTCCCTGAAGCCACGTATCATGTATCCGATACGTATCGGATACGGATACGTGTCCGATACGCTCTGGATACGTATCCTCGGAGTATCCGATTTTTTATTATTTTCGCAAATGTTGGATACGCCGTCAGATACGTATCTGGCCTGCCGATACGGCCCAGCCACGAACAGAGTGGAGGCCGTGCAACATGAAGGGGAGCAGAAGGAGATGAGTCCTGCGCGGGCAAGGTTGCTCGCGTGCTCGCGTCGGCCGCCGAGCTGCTGTCGATTCGGGCAACGCCGCCGCCGATTGGAGCACCGCCGCCGCCGGATCGACCCCGCCGCCGTCGATTCGACCTCCGCCGCCGCTGATTGGAGCTCCGGCACCGCGGGATTCGACCTCCGCTGCCGCTGATTTGAGGTCCGCCACCGCCGGATCGACCTCTGTTGCCGTCGATTCGAGCTCCGCGGCCGCCGAATCGACGCTCTGACGCTGCTGGAGCGAGCTGCGAGACGAAGCAAGGCAAGCAGCGGCAAGGGATCCAAGCGGAGCTTCAATCGCGGGCGAGGCGAGGAGAGGCAAGCGGGTGAGGCGAGGCGACCAGCGGCAAAGGATCCAAGCAGGCTCGAGGTTGCTCACAAGCGGAGCGGAGGTGGTGTGCCATGGAGCAAAGGGCGGACGGGGACGCGGGCGGTGGAGCAGACGGGGATGGGGTGCGGGGAGCGGAAGCTGCTGTGCGCCTGGGCGAGAGCTGAACTGGAGACGGATGGGTGGCAATCGATGGAATGGTTTGGTTGTTGGACAGGGCACTGGTAGGACATACTACGTGTCACATATGGTGCTTAGATGGACCGTGGGCTTTCCTAAGACAATGGTCGTCAGATCTGCATTATTATTATTTTTATTTTATTTTTTAAATAGTAAACGTATCCGCGTATCGGGTTTCTTAGAAAATTACCGTATCCGCGTATCCGTATCCGTGCAACTTAGAATGCCACCTCTGGTGCCCTCACACCATGGCCGTGCAGCTCTGTCCAACCCTCTCTACTGCAGCCGTCGGTTGCGACACCCGAGTACTACTCCTATTGTGACATGACAGACTCTGAAATGCTGCCTGGCGACAACGTGGACAGCACACATGTCCGTCAGGATGCATCCTCCTTGTTGATGAATGGCCGCATGCACGAGGAAGTGGTGGAACCCAATAGATTTTTGCCAACTAAGAGCTGCAGCAGCAGCAGCATGGACATGATCAGCATGGCGTTCTTCCAAGGCATGGAGGAGGCTACCAAGCTCTTACCCTCCAAAAACGACATCGAGACATTGGATCGTGATTGGGGCCGGAAGAAGAGGCTTCAAGACAAAGATGATGTGGATGTTTGCATAGGCAGAAGCAGCAAGCAGAAGGCGGTGCAGTCGCAACCTGACTCAGAGGAGGAAGCCGCAGCATGCGAGATGCTGGACCGGTTCATGCTTAACGATGAAACCAGCCATGCCAGCATGCAGCAGGAGCTACTTAGCTCCATGGAGCTGGAGAAGCCAGGGGCACGGGGAAGGCGTGGTACTGGTGTAAGCCACACGGTGGACCTGCATGCCTTGCTCATCCGGTGCGCAGAAGCCGTCTCCACCAACGACCACCAAGTTTCTGTCGACCTGCTGCAGCGGATCAGACATCACTCGTCACCGACAGGGGATGGGATGCAGCGGCTAGCTCACTGCTTCGCCCAGGGGCTGGAGGCGCGGTTGGTGGGCACGGGGAACCAGATGTGTCAAGGTTCCTTGAGGCGCTCAACAACTTTGCTGCAGTGTTCGATGCGATGGACACCATTATGCTGCAGGAAAACCAGAACAGGCTGCTGGCTGAGCAGTGGTTAGCAACGTGCGCCATGAACATCGTCGCGTGTGAGGGTATGGACCGGGTGTCACGGCCTCACAACTACAAGCAGTGGCAGGTGAGGAGCGAACGAGCAGGGCTGAGGCAGCTGCCATTGGATCCGGACATGGTTCAGATGTGCAAAGACAATGTGAGGAAGGAATACCGCAAATACATCGTGATCAATGAGGATCACGAGTGGCTCCTCACGGGATGGAGAGGGCGAGTCCTCGCTGCGTTCTCCACGTGGAAGGCAGATGATGATAGATCTGGCTTGGTTGAATGATCAGTGAGCTCATTATTTTACAAATTTATAGCTGGGAAGCAAATTCAGGGATGACAAGTGGCAGAAAAACAATTTTGCTGCTTGTATCTATGAGTCATGGTGAAACTTCATTGGGTTTTGAGTGATCAGCAGTCTTATGGACATGACGTCAAAGCTACTATAGATTTTTTTCAGCTCTTATGTGAATGCTTGATATGATAAATCTGTATATGATAATAAACTGTACCAAATTATAGATTTAGCATGATGATCATGTTAAGCCATGCATCAAGATTTTTTTTGTGAGCAGTTTTGTTCCAGATCATAGATTGTATCTTTTTTAACTAAACTGTACAGTCCTCGTGTTAAACCAACAGGATTCCTAGAAGATGAATACTCAACTATACTGATAGACCGGCCAACAAGTAGCTTAGTGGTTGATGCTCTATTTTGGGGCATGTTTATATACACTACGTCAGATTTGCACATCACTGCCGGATTTGTGAGAACCGGCAGTGATGTACCTTCACTGCCGGTTATGAGCTTGAAAATGAAAAAATAATTGGGGCTGGGCTAAAACCGACAGTGAAGGACCACATCACTGGTAGTGTTTTAGCGGCCACTTATCACTGCCGGTTCAAGCCAAGAACCGACAATGATTGAGCTCTATCACCGTCGGTTCTAGTCAAGAACCGACGGTAATAAGCCTACAGCACAAAAAGGTTGCAGCCGTCCTCTTCTTCCTCGTCTCTTCCATCCCGAGAACAGAGGCATGCGTTTGGGCCCTTCCCTCCATTGTTGCGGCTGCTCTTCACCATGAAGCTAGCGCTTGGATTTTGAAGAATGGCTTGATCTTTTTGCTTTAAGGTTAGTAACAAACATCCACTATTTTGATTTTGTTGATTAATTAGCTTCGTTTTGATGGCTACATTGCTTGATTCTCATTCTAATTCTTTCTCCATTCTAGAGAGCATTTTTTCAATTGGACATTTGTGCAAGGCTCAAATTATGGTGAATCCATCATCCAAAAGGTTGGTGTCTATGAACACATTTTAATTCCTAGCTAATTATTCCATGGTGGTCAAGATCATCATTGTTAGTATGTGATGCTATAATTAGTTCTTAGAAGTAGAGTAGAATAGTTGTTCTTCATTATTGTGCAATAATTGTTTTTACTACGATTTTCAATTTACAGGGCCGGAGCAACCAATTTCAATTTTCCAATAATTAGTGTACAATAATGTTTTCCAAAAATATTACTTTCGAGCTACAATTGTTGTTCATGAAGCTCGATTTCTTATTAATTCTTTGTAATTACTATCTCAGTATTTTTTTGTGTAGAGATGGATCAAGAGTGGATGCATCTGTCCCGAACGGACAAGCGATACATGTATGGCGTCAGCCAGTTTATCACCGATGCCAAAGCCCATGCTGGGAATGGGAACCTTGTCTTCTGCCCATGCAAAGATTGCAAGAATCAAATGAACTTTCATCAAATTGAGTCTATACGATCGCACTTGATTACCAGGGGGTTCATGCCAAACTATACGATATGGACTATACATGGCGAGGTTGGTGTGAATGTTCTGCAGAAAAACGATGATGATGTGGACATGCCTGATGTAGCCATCCACGATGCTGACGAGGAACCCGGTGTCAACACGGAACCTATGGCCACAGTTAATAATGTGTTTAGGAACACGCTAGCTGACGACACCGAGGATAACGATGGCATTTCTCAGCTGCTACGTAATGTAGAGACCGGATGTCTTAGTGAAAGATAGCTGAGAAAGCTAGAGAAAATGAGACAAGATGGCAAAACACCATTGTATAGGAATTGTCCAATGAGCAAACTGGAAGCCGACATCATGCTGTTAGAGTTCAAATTGACAAACGGATTGAGCGATAAAGGCTTCGATCAGTTGTTAGGTATAATAAGTAAAATGCTCCCAGAAAAAAATGAGTTGCCAGAAAAGACATACTTGGCCAAGCAAATGATCTGCCCCATCAGCCTCGAGGTTGAAAAAATCCACACGTGTTCCAATAATTGCATATTGTACCGTGGAGAAAAATACAAAGACTTGGACATGTGCCCCAAGTGTGAAGCTCCACGGTACAAGGAAGGGCCGTCAGATGAGGGTACCAAGACCAGAGGAGGTCCCGTAAAGGTCGTTTGGTATTTTCCTATAGCTCCCTGGGTGCATAGGCTGTTTGCATGTGCAAAGTCAGCTAAGCTGTTGCGCTGGCATGATGAAGAGCGTAAGAAAGATACAATGATGAGGCACCTCGCTGATGGGTATGACTGGAGGACTGTCGATACTATGTTCTATAAGGACATCGGTGGAGAGGTAAGGCACTTTTGGTTTTCTTTGAGCACAGATGGGATGAATCCTTTCGACTAGGTTAAAAGCAATCATAGCACCTGGCCAGTGACGCTCTGTATATACAACCTTCCACCTTGGGTCTGTAAGAAGCGGTCGTACATCCAGATGCCACTACTAATCCAAGGGCCAAGACAACCTGGGAATGACATCGATATGTTTTTGGAACCAGTGATCGATGAACTAGTGGAGATGTTTGAAAAGGGTGTGCCAGATGGTTGGGATGAGTACAAAAAGGAACATGTCACGATTAAGGGAGTACTTATCGCTACAATCACCGACCTGCCAGGTCGAGGTTCGTTGTCCGGAGAGAAGATAAAAGGCTATACTGGATGTGTTGAGTGCTTGGACGACACCGATGCGGTAAATCTGCCAAATAACTCAAAGATAATTTATATGGGACACCGTAGGTTCCTACCTAAGGATCACCCTTACCATAGGAACAGAAAAGATTTCAACGGTACTATTGAGAAACGCTAAGCTCCAAAATATCGAGACGGGCCTGCGATACTTTGAGAACTCAACAAACTGGAGGTTGTCCTTGGGAAGGGGGACAATGCAGTAGCAGCGCCTGATGGGAGCATTTGGAAGAAAAAATCGGTTTTCTAGAAACTACCTTACTGGCCATTTCTGAGTGTACGCCACTGTCTTGATCCCATGCACATCACTAAAAACGTGTGCGCTAACACTCTTAACACCTTGATGGACACCAGGGGGGCATCGAAGGATTCACTAGCCACACGCCTAGACATGCAACACTTGGGAATCAGGAAGGGGCTGCATCCTGTGGAGCTAGAGAATGGCTAGTTCGAACTTCCGGTTGCGTCATGGACATTGAAGAAGGAAGAAAAGCGTGCGTTTATTTCTTTCTTCAATGAACTCAAAGTCCCGACAGGCTACTGTGCGAACCTGAAGAGGCTAGTGAACATGAGAGAACTCAAGTTCAACTATGGCCCTATGAAGGCCCATGACAGTTATGTCATTATGAGTCAGTTGCTCCCTGTTGCCCTGCGTGGTATCCTCCCCCCAAAGGTCCGCGCCCCAATCATAAAGCTTTGCTCGTTCTTCAACGCGATCTCAAAAAAGGTCATTGATGTGTCCATGCTAGAGCAGCTGCAGCGGGACATAGCCGAAACTCTAGTTAGGCTTGAGATGCATTTCCTGCCGACTTACTTTGATATCTCATTGCATCTGCTCATTCATCTTGTTGACCAAATTAGAGCCCTTGGCCCAATGTACCTGCATCAGATGTTCCCTTTCGAAAGATTGATGAAAGTTTTCAGGAGGTATGTTAGGAACAGATTCAGGCCAGAAGGGGGCATGGTTGAAGGATAGTCAATGGAGGAGGCCATTGAGTTCTGCACATATTATCTAGACATCAAAAGGGTTGGAGCTTCATAATCTCGTCATGAGGGAAGACTACATGGCAAAGGAACGATCGGGGAGAAATCTGTTACAGTAGATGACTATGTTTCTTTCAGACAGGCATAGTTCATTGTTCTCCAGCAAGCCGAGGGTGTGATGCCATACATTGACAAGCACAGGCAATCGCTGCAAACTCTATATCCGAGCAGGTCATAGGCTTGGCTGGATAAAAAACATAAGGAGGAATTTGTCAACTGGTTACGACATCGCTTGCTTGGAATAAAGTTGGGTAATCAACTGGATGCCTTAGCCAAGGGACCTTTGAATACATATCTTAAGTACTAAGGGTATGAGATCAATGGATTCACCTTTTACACAAAAAAGCAAGATGGAAAGAGCACATACCAAAATTGTGGTGTTCGTTTTGATGCTCACGACGAAAACGGCAACGTGCAGGCGACATACTATGGTTTTATAGAGGAGATATGGGAGCTAGCCTACGGTCTGTTGAAGGCAGCTCTTTTTAGCTGCCAGTGGGTCCGGCTCGAGGAAATCAACACTAACAACGAAGGGTTCACTACCGTTGATCTCACTAAGACCGCATACAGAGACGACCCCTTCGTCCTTGCAAGAGATGTTATGCAAGTCTTCTATGCAAGGGACAACAAGACAAAAGAAAGGCTAAAAGTAGTCCTAGAAGGGAAAAGAATGATTGTCGGTGTCGATGGAGTGATGGACGAAGAAGACTACAGGGGCTATCAGGAAATGCCTCCATTCGGGGCGAACGTACCCCTACCTATCCTTCAAGAGGGTGACGAACCTGCTTACATATGGCTTGATCACAATGAGGACCTCATTGTTGATGCACCTAAAGATAGTTAGATTATTGTTAACTATGTAATCATTATGCACATAACCGTGAATGATGTTTGATCCTGATGAAACTCTCATCTCCTCTCTCCTCCTCATTAATACTCTACCAAGTCAGCAAATATGCCGACGTATCATAGCAATTAATGAGAATGAAAGTTATTTAAAACTACCATTGAGACTAACCTTATTATTATTCAAACACTCGATTAGACACCGAACGTAACATTTCTAAACTTTACTCTCTGAATTTAAACACCAGCTAAATATAAATATAAATATATATGTCTAGACTTCTGATAGAAGGACATTGGGGCGGCCATTCTCTTTCGAGCTACTACTAGTAGTGAGGGATCCACAGCTCCTCGGCGCCACTGGTCCCCAACCAGTTTGTAGTCCTTGCTC